CCCCCCCCCCCCCCCCCCCCCCCCCAAGCCTAGAATTCTCTCCCTCACCATCTCCACCTACTGGCCCCTTCAAGACTCAACAAAAATCCGACCTTCTACAAGAAGAGCCTTCCCAGGTCCCCCTTGATATCGGTGCCTTCCCTCTGGTGGTTATCTCCAAATCATCCTGTTTATAGCTTGTCTGTACCTAGTTATTTGCATGTTGTCTCTCCATTGGACTGTAAGCTCCTTGAGGGCAGGGTCTGGCTTTTATCTTTCTTTGTAACCAGGCATTTGGCATAGTGCCTAGCACATAGTAGGTGCTTAATAAATGTTTGATATACTTTGGTACAAAGAGCCCTTCTGTCTTTGATCGCCGGGAGTCTAGGCCTGGTCAAAGGGCATGCCCACTTGAGGGACTCTGGGGACATCATGGTCCACCTTCTCTTTTCAAGGCAGAGTGGTCTGCTGGGTATAGCACTAGGTGTGAATACCACCTCAAACACTCACCAGCTGTGTGACCTTGGCCAAGCCCCTTCTCTCCTCTGCCTCAGCCACCTCAGGTACAAAATGAGGGCAAGGAGGGTTGGACTCTTGGTCCTTTCCAGCTCCAAATCTAGAATTCTGTGACCATCACATGCCACTTCCTTCCCTCTTCCAACCAACTGATCTCTTGAACACTGGCCTCTCTCCATTTAGTGCTTTTCCAACTGCTCCCAGCCCTTGTTCCCACGGTTCCCTGAGCCTAGAATGCCCTCCTTCCCTTTCTTTGCCTGTTGCATTCCTATGTGGCCTTCAGTGTTCTCATCTGCAGAATGGGGCCAACCTTGAAGCACTCTGGAACGAAGTAGACACGGGCTCTTCTGGACGTACCTTGATGTGAGGGTGCTGGGCACAGGTGGTCCCCCAGACACGGGCACACCGCTCTTCCTTCCTGTGCTCGTAGAATTCTGGATCTCTCAAGATGGCCACCTTCCGTCCGTCATATTCCAGGGCGAACTCGCTGCAGCCCTGGAGGCGTTTCATGTCGTCCTCAGAGACAGGGAGGACTATGGGAATGCTGAGGTTGAGGACGCCATCTGTGGGAAGAACCCGGGGAGGCATCGATGCATGGCACCTCCCACACCCGACGGGCCGTCCCTGGGACGGGAGTAGACACAGCTGGGAGGAGCCTACTCCCTCATTTTACAGATGGGGAGACTGAGAGCCAAGCTCACACAAAGATCATCCTCGGGACCCAGGAGAATCCCAAAGAAGGGACTCTACCGCTTCCAACCTGGGTGACCTTGGGAAAGCCCCCTGGCCTCCTCGGGCTTCAGTTTTCTCATCTGCAAAATGGGGGGTTGGACTCACTGGCCTCCTGGTCTGAAGATTTTGACTCAAGCAGCACCTGCCTTGTTCCAAACCAGCCCTGTACTAGAACCGCTGCTTCCTCCTCTTCTGCCGGCGTGACCCTGGGCAGGCCTCGGAACCTTTGTTTCCAGCCCCGTCTTCCTTACAGAGTCGGGGTGGTGAAAGTTCTTTGGAAGCCTTAAGGCTTTATAAAAACGGGGAGCTGTGATCATTTTAATCATACAAGAAACGGTTTAAAAAAAATCGACTGACCTTGTTTGGCTGATCAGCACGGCCCCCAACACCCAATCTGATTTTTGGATTGGTGATTGAATGAAATTTCAGCACCGGGGATATTCCAGCACTGCAAAGATCTTTTCAAATGACAGAGAGCCTCCACTGATTCATGTCACCCAAAGCAAACCATCTCAAAAACTCCAATGCGGTCCCAAAAGTGGATTGCAAGAGGCCACAGGGGACTCAAGTCATGGCATCACAGGACGTAGACCCTAGGAGGTCTCCGGTCCAGCCTGTTCCAATTATCTGGAAAACTCCTTAATCCGGAATAGCGTGGGCTCCAACGGTGCTGGATGATGCCTTTGTGCGTGTCCCCCCTCCTAATCCAATCTCCCTCCCACCCTTTCCTCCAGGCCTGGTACATGAACAAGAGCTTCTTGAGTTGATCATGCTTTGAGGGGTGATTTCCTCATTTGTAAAATGGGGGTTGGAACGGAGAACTTCCTTTCAGCTCCAAATCTATGGTTCTCATTACTACCCATATGACTATGTCCCTTTGCCTGTCTGGGCCTCATTTTCCCCACCTGTAAAATAAGACAGGTTGGAGCAGGTGGTCTCTAAGGTCACATGCATCACTCATCTATGATGAAGTTGTGGAAAGAACACTGGCTTTTGAGTGGAGACCTGGGTTTGTAACCTGGCGAGGGCACTGACCAGCTGTGTTACCTTGGGAAAGTCAAATCCCTTCTCCAGGGCTGTTGTCTTCTCTGTAAAATGGATTATCAGGGATGACAAATCACAGCCTGAGGGCAAAATCCGACCCAAATTTGCTTCTGTGTGGCCTGAGAGCTAAGAAAGGTTCTTCCATTTTAAAAATACAATAAAACTTTATTTTCGTGTATAAAAGCCAGTCTTGGCATTATTACTGCCCTTCAGCCCCCTAGCCCCTGCTCAGAAGGAAGTGTGTAGGCCAGTGTGGGGATCACCAGCCACGCTCTGGAAACAGGCTCCAAGATGGAACAGGGCCCCAAAGGACAGGACAGGTGTGGGGAGCAGTGTGATGGCCCCCCAAACCCAGATAAGATGCCCGGGAGCTGGGGCTGAATGTCTCCTGCAGAAGGCCATTAACAAGGTCTCCTCACTCAGTAAAGGCCTTCATTGCCCCAGAGTCCCTAGAAAATGGTGTCCAGGGGATGGGGCTGGGCCCTTTCTCCTCCTCCTCTTCCTCCTCCTCTCCTCCTACAGGGGCAGGGACTGGCCAATGCCACACACATTCCCTAGTGTGATACGGGTGATGCCATCCCGTCACCCAAGACAGTCTTCAGGACTTCTATGATTTCAGGGTCATAGATTCAGCTAAGTAAACTAAAGGTGATCCAGATCTGCCCTTCACTACACAGCAACTCTCCAAGAGCTCACAGGGATGAGGGGCAAAGTCAGGATTTGAACCCAGCTCTTTGTGTCCAAATTCATGTCTATGTTCTGTGCTAGGGTCCTTTTCAGAGACTTGTCCATGGTCCCACGGATGATATGGGGAGTACAGTGCCAAGTCCCAATCGTGCTCTCTTTCCTCCTCACCCCTGCTAACTACAAGAGGAAACCAAAGGTCAAGGACATTTTCCGTGTTCATCCTTGCTCACTTGGAGCATGTGCCCCCCTCCCGTTTGGGACCATCCCAGAAGCTTCCATTGGCTTCCAGTTCTATCATTGTCTATCAGTTGATGGTTTGAAATCACTTTCATGCAAAATCACACGTCTGCCACAGAAGCAGCCCCACAGTTCATGCTGAATCCAACCAGATGTGCCCACTTCAACTCCCATCTAAAACCCACTCGACCTTAAAGTTCTGGAAAAGCACAAGAAAAAAGAGTTCTTGGGTCCAGTGACCTGAGAGGAACACGGGCCAACATTCAAAGGCAACGTGACTGACAGCAGCCAAGAAACACTCAGGGCCTCTCCTCAAATCATTCTGAATCCACAGGTCTTCTTCAGCTGGCCAGAGATGGTGGGGTAAACCACAGCTGCATGGATCCACTGATTTCCTGAGCTTGGCTGGCCCAGTTCTTTGGCCTCCCCATCCACATTGCCTTTACTGCTTTTACATAACTGGTTGGATCATGAACTCCAATCAATTAGCACTGATTAATTTGGATTAATTCTTTTTTTGCTATTAAAAACTCTAGTTCCAATTAATGTAAAATATCTAATCATAATAATTCGATTACTTGGAAGGTTATTAAAGTACATACCAGGACAGTCCAGGCCTAGGGAAACATAAACACAATTAACAAATGTGTTTTCAGCCCCCCTTGGAATCATCTCAGAGTCATTTCAAGGTGGCGGACGCTCACTGGGAACTTGGCCCATGTATCTATCACATATAACAATATCTGGAAGCCTAATTGCTCTCCAGGACATTGAACTTGATGCACCCAGGTGTAGTTTGGGAAGATGTGACCAGGAGAGGACTTTGTGCCCCCAGGGGTGGCCATCTGCCCGAATACCATGGCAGCCCAAGGTAAGTGGCCCCGTTTCATCTCAATGGAGGAGCTGAGGTGGCTAGTTCTGAACTCTGATTTGGGGACGCAGGTGTGGGAACACTCTGACCAGGGCATCCTGGAGCCCCCCAGAAGCACCAGCAGCAGCATAAAAATGACGGCTCAGAGCTGGAAGCTCCCAGCCCCCTCACCCAGAGCTGACCCTGCTCACAATCCTTCACTCGAGCTGACTCTCATCTCACCGCATCTTCATAACCTTCCCCTCAGGCAGGTAGGATGGGTCTGCTTACATCATTTTTCAGGAGACTGAGGCTCAGGGAGGTTAAGGAGCTTGTGACAGTTTGGGGGCAGGATTTGACCCAGGTCCGCCTGACCTTTCCCTCTCTGCCAGTGCTAGCAGAGTATGTGGACAAGTTGCTTTTTCCCATGGCACCACAGCCTCGAGGGGCTGCTAAATCTTCATTGTTGTTCTTTCTAAATCAAGCCATGGTTTTTACAAGACTAGAAGTGCTTTCTCTCCACTGAGACCAGGGGACCAAAAAGTGTCCCTTCCTGTTTTTCTCCTACGTTTGTTGATCATTCATGATGGTGCCAGGAATGCTCCCCTTCATACGGGATGCAGAGGTATCTCAGGAAGGCAGGTCTGAGTGAGGCCCAGCTACCCTCCAGCTCAGACAGACCTTACCCCCTGGCAGCCACCGGCCCCTCTACTCCAGGAATGGGGCTGGTGTCAGGGGGGTCCCCTGAGCACCGGGAATAGATTCCCTGCCACAGGGCAGCCAGTGATGGAAAGAAACCATCTTATGGCCTGGAATGGCCTGGGCCTAGGCATGTTTCTGAGAACTTGATCAGATGGCTTTGTTCAAGGACTTAGGTTTCCTCTGTCCAGGGCTCAGGCAGCTAGCTGTGTGTGTGTGCCTTCAGGGTGAGTTTCACCTACATATGCATACATGTACACACAGACATCCATATATGTGCATGGCGTGCATGTATATGTCACATATTCATGTGTGTGTGTGTATGTCTATGCATGTGTGTAAGAGAAAGTCTACCTGGAGTAGCCAAATGGTCCTTCTCAGCCTGCTCTGGGATGTCGCCCATACAGAATCTGCAGGAGGTGCTGAGCCTCTCCCAGCCTTGGTTGGCAGCTCTTCTACCAGGAGACAATGCCACCAATGCCCCTGAGCCCTTCAGGCAGGCACTCAGGGTGGGCAAAACAAAGCAGGGGAAGGAAAACTAACTAAAACCTTCTCTGCTGGGTACAGAGGGCAGTGTGCTTCATCTTCAGCTCATGGTCATTATCACTTTGAATTAAAGCCTTGAAGGAAGATGGCAGCACATGCTGGCAGCTCCATATGGCAGAAGGAGCTCAGGATTTAGGGACAGAAAACCCGAGTTTGAGTCTTGCTCTCTAGCCATGCACTGTGGGCAAGCCAGCATCCCCCACTGGCCCCCAGGTTCTTCATCTGTCCAACAAGGGGGTTCCCTGCCAGCCCTCAGTCCTGTGGTCTTATAACCAACCAAGTTCAAAGCTTGGAATATTGTGGTAAAACAAGTTAGACTGGCCCTTACCAAGACCTTTTTTTGCCCCACAATGTTTCCAGCTCAACTGAGAATATTTGTCAGGGCCTCTGCAGGCTTGGAAGGAAAGGATTCCCCTCTTCACTCCCATCCTACATGATAAGAAATAGTGTGAAAGAAGAAACCCTACCATCCAGCAAAGTGTCAAAGTGCATCACTTGCAGAAACTCCTTCTCCCGCATGAAGCCCTTGAGGGGCGTGGCCCAACCTTCGCTCAGCACTTGGACCCACTGCAGATCCAGCTGCAAAACAGAAAGAGGTGGGTGAATGGGGGTGGGGGGCCAGGTCTGTCCTTGGGGCAGCCCCACCGTCCTGACTGTTCCAAGGCACTTTCCTGGTCCCAATGGGCTCTGAGCTTACTTCGATCCTAGAGGCCCAGGCTTAGGACAGACTCATTCCCATGATCTTTCTTTTTATTCTGGGTAGTTAATAATCAGTTTACTAATTTTACTAGCAAATAATCAATAAATTGATAGTCGATGGTTTCTCTCCAGTAACCAAAGACTCTCATGATCCTTCTAAGGACGGTGGTAAAAAAGGGCTGGGGTTTTTCCTCATCTCAGCCTCCTCTGACCCCCCCCCCCAGATGATAAGGGGGCTCAGAGACCTCCTGGTCTACCTGACTGAGAAGCCCCTCCCCCACCCAACCTGGGCAGCCAACCCCATTCCAATGTGAAGCTTCAAGAGCAGGCTTCAGTCTGTTTGAACCTCCCACCACCTACGAGATGGGACATCACCTGTCTGAAGCCTCCTTTCCTCCCCCAAGAGATTGGGGCTGTGCCTCACACATTTGTTGTTGTTGTCGTGAGGCACACACACACACACACACACACACACACTCACACTCACACTCAACACACATTCACATTCACACACACATACACACACACTGATACACTCAACACACATTCACATTCACACACACTCACACTCATACACTCAACACACATTCACATTCACACACATACACACACACACACTCACACACACATGCACACAAACACACACACCACGTGATGATGCTTCTGTGGGAGGGAGTAGGATCCCCTCCTAGACTGTCAGAATCATGAGGGCAGGAGCCCGTCTTACCTGAATTTTGTTTCTGCCCTAACTCCGTGCGTGGTCAGTCAGGGCTCAATAAATGTTTGGTGAATGAAAGAATAATGAATGAACGAATGGAACAAATCTTTGACATGAGGCAGAAACAGCCTGAGGTCAGGGATGCTGGCAGGGCACAGTGGGAAGAATGTGAGCTAAGAAGGAGATGGGTTGGCAGAAGACAAGGAGAAGAGGGCTGGCCCAGTCACTTGTGAGCTCTGGGGCCTTGGGAGAATCTTGGTTTGGTGAAAAGAGCAAACAAGTTGGAATCAAACCCCTCCTCTGCCACTGATTAGGCGGGGTGACCCTGGACAGGTCACGTCACTTAACTTGGCCTCAGTTTCCCCATCTGTCAAATGAGGGAGTTGGGTCACACGGCCTCTGAGGTCCTTTCTAGGTCCAGCTCAATAATCCTAGGTCTGACCTCTGAGGTCTCTTCCAGTCTAAATTCTAAGACTCTTTTGGTCTTCTCTACCCAGCACTCAGCACGGTGCCTGGCACACAGTAGCTGCTTAATAAGTGCTTGCTGACCTACTGCTCTAACCATGGGAAGCTCCAAGTGAGCAGTCAGACAGCAGGAAGTTGGGTTTAGAGCTCTGAGGCATCTCTGGGATAAGATGCTCCAGGGAAAAGCTCTTGGCTTCTCTTGGAGAGGTTTCCCTCCCCCCCATTGCCTACTCATCAAGGAGCAAGGGCAGTCACCTTGGTGATCAGGAGGGAGGGCAGCTTCTCGGCTTCAGCCTGGGCCACGGCCAGTTGGTTTTCAGGTACGAAAAGCTCATGGATGCCTTGTATTGCCGAGTGGGGCACGATAGTCTGAGGCCGAAGGGAACACAGACACCCGCGGTGAAACCCGGTGATCTGGGGAGCTGGAGGCCCCTCCCCCGCCCCCCCCCCCAGCTTGTCTCCGCCCCGGGAGTGGGGCGCCCCCACTCACCTGCTCTTGAAGCAAGTCCACCACCTGCTGCACACAGTCGCTCACGGACCACAGGTTGGTTTTCACCACCAGCTCGGGGGTTTCCGGTTTTTCATATTCAGAGTCGATTCCCGTGAACCCTGGAGGCAGGACGCAGGAAAATGGCTTTCACCAGGAGGTGATAATTAGCTTAATCAAAGGCGGAGCCCTTGCCAGGGTAATGGACCAGAAATAAGTTCCAGTGACGATTCTTGATGTGCAGTTAATACACTGAAGATGAGAGAGACATATCTGTGCCACCTCCCTCCTCTCTACTCTCAAGCAGAATGTAAGCTCCTTGGGGGCAGGCACTATTTTTGTTTTTAATGGGCTAGGGAGGTGGTAGAGTACTGGGCTTGAAGGCAGCAAAACCTGAGTTCAAATCTGGCCTCATTTAACCACTGCTTGCCTCAGTTTCCTTATCTGCAAAATGGGATATAATAATACCATCTACCTTCCAAGGTTGTTGTGAAGATCAAATGAGACCATATTTATAAAGTGCTTAGTATAGTGCCTGGCACATAGCAGGCACTATATGAAAATGCTAGCTATTATTATTATCATCATTATTATTACTCTTATCCCATGGTGGGATGGATCCCACTCCACTTTGCTAACTGACTCATGTGTACCAGGTGCACTGCCTAAACAGGAACACTCAAATCACTTTCCTCCTCCCCTATGATTTTGAACTGTTTTGGTCTGGAACTGAGAATTTAAAACCCAGGAATTCCTCAATAAATGAAGCGAGAACACAGGAAGCAAATTTTCTTTTGGAGGGTCGAGACTTTCCTGGGTACACGGAAATCCCTCCGCCCCACAGACTGCCACCCTCCCTGTGACCTATGAGTCAGGTCACATCCTGGGCATCTGGGAGGTGAGGAATATCAGGGTCCCTCAGAGGCAGGATTTGAACCCAGATCTCCCAGACTCCATCTCTCTTCCCTCTGACATGCCGCTTCACATAGCGTTTAGAATGTGAGTGGTGTCTTTCCTTCCACTTGGGAAACAGCACTTTTCCTTCTCTCACACCCAAGTTTCTGAGCAGGAATGGGCCAGGGAGGCCCCCAACCCAGCCCATTCTTGAAGGATGAGCATTTCTGTTGATGGCCATATTAACATCATTATCATCATTAGAAGATTTGGAGTTAGAAGGGACTTTGACATAAGAGAAAACCGAGGGAAACCCACTGTCACAAGTGGCAAGTAACCAAAGCAGAATTCGAACCCCAGACCCCTGACTTCCGATCTGTGATTACATCATAGGGTCACCGATTCAGCGCAGGATGGGAGCTCAACGGCCATCTATTCCCACCCCTCATTTTACAGTTGAGGAAACTGAGGCCCTGGGAGGAGAGGTGATTCTCAAAGTGGCGTGTTGTTTCGTCTTTGTCTCTCTGATGCCTAGAGCAGTGTCTGGCACACAGGAGGCACCCGAGGGCGGCGACTAATCCAGTTTGTGTTTTCACTCTAGGTCTGCCATCCGTGCCAAAGCACCATGATGGATGCCTGCCCCCTGCTTCCATCTTACACAACCTGGGGAAAGGCCATTCGCCACTTCTTCTAGGGTGAGGAGAAGAAGGAAGGAGACTCCAGGAAAATTCCCCCAGCGGGCCGCCCTACCTTTGATTTCCCCAGCCCGGGCTTTCTTGTAGAGGCCTTTCACGTCTCTGCTTTCACAGATATTCAGAGGGGCATCGACAAAGATTTCAAAGAAGGGCAGTCCTGCGGCCTCGTGAATTTTACGAGCATTTTCCCGGTCCTGTAAACAACCAGAGAAGATCACCGGCTTCGCAGTGAGAGGCATTTGACACCACCAGGGCCAATTTGGTTTGTTTTTTCCTTTTGTTTGTTTGTTTTAAAGTGAAAGTCAAGCAGTTAGCAACAAACCCCCATTGAGCAAAGCGCTTGGGGGGGGGGACACGGAAGGCTACACAAAGGGGAATGGGGTACAGTCCCTGCCCTCAGAGGGCTTATACTCTAGCAGGCTGGGAACCATGGAGAAAAACTGCCCACGATGCGTTCATAAGAAAGCTTACACAGACCTGCCCCAGGAGCCCCGCTCCTCGTCCCTCCTGGAGGCTTACGAGGCTGCAGCTTGTCGGCTTCCACAGAGCCCAACAGCCCCAGAACCTGGCAGGGCTCCTGGAATGTCTCCTTTCGTAGACGAAGGAGAAACTGGGCTGCTTGGGAGCATCTCCTTTGGAGCAGAGAACGTGGAAGAGCGGACTCTGGCATGGGGAGCCAGAGGCACAGTCGTCGGGCACCCAGGACCCAAAGAGGGAAAAGTGGAGGAGATTGTGGGCTGAGAAGGAAAGAGGAGAGAGTCGAAAGGCCCGGGGGCCACTCCACGCGCCTCCCAACCAGACACCTCCTACTAGTCAGGGGCCAGGCACCACTTTGTCACAGCTCCTGGAGTTCAAGAATCCCAGCGAAGGTTTAAAATAAATAAATAAATAAATACATAAAAGGCTGGGCGCTCTTTCTGCCCTTCCTTTCTTCTGGAAGAATGAGTTAATCCGCCAGGGCCAGAGGTCTGAAGTGCTCTGGTTTGAAGACCTCAGCTTCCAGGGTGTGCTGCTGCAGAGATGGACTACTGCTTTATTTTTCTGAAGACAAGTTTAGGGGTAAGAGCACATCCTTCATCTCTACCTTTCAGAAACTTTCTCGTCTAGGGTCACGGGGAAAGTTGGGAGGATGCCGCCACTGATAGGAAGGGGGACGGAGGAAGATAGCGACAGAGGTCATTGACCAGAGTTCAGGGAGAGAAGGGGAGACATCTGATTTCTGACACTTCCTCCAGCGGTTAGAGTTTCCTCCACCAAACTCGCATTCACTCATCTGTGTAATATGGTAACCATCCACAGAGAATATAAGTTCCTTCAGGGCCGGGGCTATAATAAAATCAGAGATTGAAAGCCAGAAGAGACCCTAGAAGTCATTCTTGTCCACTTTCCCCGGTGCTTTGAACACGATGGGCTTTTACTAAATGATGGTCAGACTGAATAGCCACAGCCCTGCTAGCTCCTTGCAGACAGTTCACCTCTCACCTGTGAGCCTTTGTCTGAAATGCACTCCTGACTGAATTGCACCATACAGAATCTCTAGTTTTCTCCAAAGCACAGTTCTGGGGCTACCTCTTACACAAGACCTCTTATTACCCTCGCTTCCTCTTGAGATAATTTTTTATTACTTTGCATTTATTTATATCTGAGCACCTGTTGTGTCTTCCCAATAGAATGTGAGCTTGAGGGCAGGAAATCCTGTTCTGAGACTGCATCCTTAGCAAAGACACAGAGTGTTGCACATAGTTGGCACTTTGTCTTTTGTCATCAAACGAACCCATTGCAATGAATGAATCCCAAGCCAATTCACCTTTGCAAATGGAGAGATGAAGCTGGTGATGCAAACCAGCCCGGCGTCGGCAAAGAGCTTGGCCACCTCGGCTATCCGGCGAATGTTTTCTTCCCGATCCCCCGCGGAGAAGCCAAGGTTTTTGTTGAGGCCATGGCGCACGTTGTCCCCGTCCAGGGAGTAGCAAGGGATGGCGTGGGACACCAGGTACTCTTCCAGGGCAAAGCTGATGGTTGTTTTTCCAGCGCCAGAGAGACCTGTTTGGGAGTAGACATGGGTTAGTTAGCTGGAAGCCTCTCCTGGGTACCAAAAGATGGGATTGTGACCTGATAAAATGACCTGGAGAAGGAAATGGCAAACCTCTTCAGCATCTCTGCCAAGAGAGCCCTCAGTGGGGTCGCAAAGAGTTAGACACGACTGCAACAATTCAACAGCAACCTAAAGCAAATGCCCGCTGCTGAAGTTTCGGAGGGACAGGCTTTTAGGTGCCTCTGAATAGGCACAAATCCCATTTCTAGGTGTACTAGAAGCCTTTTCCTCGCCACAAGTCTTTGAGGTAGTAGCATCACCTGTTGGTTAGGCTGTCTGTCACCTGTGAGCCAGAGCCACCATCACTGTGGGAAGGCTTGGGCAAAATGGAGAAGGGTGGAGGGGGAGGAGGAGGCACAAAGCAGCCCTGGGGATGGAAGGACTGGCTAAAGAAATGGCAGAACAGGGGAAGGAGGAGAACAGGCTCCTACCTGCTGTATGCTCTAGAATTGCCCTGAGGATTGTAGCCACATACCAGACAGGTCTACTAAGTAGATAACATAATAACTCGAATCAACAGGTTTTGACACATTGGCTTGGGTCCGCTTGATAATCTGGGTACAAAAAGGAGCCTGAGTCTCTCCTTTGCACCAGGGAACTCACATCCCTGGGGCCCCAAGGAAACTCTTTTCCTTCCTCAGACATATTGTTGTTCAGTCATTCCAGTCATGTCCAATGGTTTGCCATTTCCTTCTCTAGCTCGTTTTGCAGATGAGGAACCTGAGGCAAACAGGGGTAAGAGACTTGCCCAAGGTCACACAGCTAGTGGCAGAGGCCAGATTTGAACTTGAGTCTTCTTGACTCCACGCCTGGCACTCTGTCCACTTTGTCATCTAGCTGCTCTCTTAGACCCATTACATCGTGGTCAAAAGAACCAGACAGGAGTCCCGGGTTCAAACTTTAGCTGTGCCAAAACCTTGCTACGTGAGCTCAGGAAGGTGCATTTCCTCTCTGGGCTTCAGTTTCCTTGGGAGCTAGACTCCAGGATCCCGAGGGTCGTTTTTGGCTCTAACATTCAGAGATTCTCTGAAAACTGCCTAAGTAGAGGATATGAGCAGCGGCTGCCGCCACCAGGAACCATGCTCTGGCTATCATGTTGCAGCTTCCCAGGACAGTGGAAGTTTTTTGAGGGCAGGAGCTACTTTCTTGGCTTTGTCTTTGTATCTCCAGTGCTTGGCACAATGCCTTGACACACAGTGGTCAATTCAGTTCAACTCAACAAGCATTTAAATGCCTATTATGTGCCAGGCATTCAGGAAACAAGAAGAAAAATGAAACCCTCTCTGCCTTCCAGGAGTTTCTATTCACGGGCCCTGGGTTTGAATCCAGGCTCTGTGACTTACCGCTTGTATTGTTTAATAAATATTTGTTGAACTGAACTGAGGAATGTGACATACATACATACAAGGAGAGAGAGCTGGGTAAAATTTAAGCCACTGGTACATTTCTTGTGTGTAAATCATTTCATCCTAAGTGTAACATACTTTTACATCTTTGATATGAATGTCTTTCAGACCACTGGGTACAACAATGTACCAGTATATTAGATCATCAGAAGAATGACTACAAAAGTATCCCTTACCATCCCAAATGGCATGGACTGGATTCTGGAATATTAGGGCAGGAAAGAAGGCCAAAGAGTATCTAGTTCAACCCTCTCAGCACACCCCAGGAGGTAGAGGATATCTTTTTGAAAACTCGCCCTGAGGAGCACCCACCACTCCCCGGGCAGACCATTCCTGCTTTGGACAGCTCTCACTGCTGACAAGTTGGTTCTTCTCTAAATCGAGCTTAAATCCGTCTTCCTACAATTTTTATCCATTGTTCTTTGTTCTCACCTCAGAAATCCAATGACTGAGTACAGGTTGACACCCCTTCCCCCCCCCCCGCCCCAGTTAGCATGGAGTCTATCTCAGCCAACATCTCCAGGTGTCCTTAACTGAACTGGACAAATGACCACACCACCTTCCAATAACAGTAAGACTGGCTGGAGTACCTGTCAACCACACTGTACAGCCCCGAAATCCTCCTCTGGTCCCAACAACCTGGCCTCTTTTATTCCTGCTCACATGGTGAGCCTGGTAGACCACATTGGTGGATTTCTGTTGGACATCCTGCAAGATGAAATATCACATTGTTTTGGTTAATGAAACATGGTTTTGTCCTTCATGGAAACACAGCAAAACACAATACAATCAAAATTCAGTGATGGAATTTGGTAACATATTCCTGCTGCTGCTGCTTGGCAGCCCTTAGTAGAGAGCTAAGATGTTGTCCTTTGGAGATGGACGTACCACTGTCTCGAGCACAGCTGGAAGAACCACTGTGAGCTGCAGCTAAGGTCATCCTAAGTAAAGAACTGGAGTCAGTGACAGGGTCCTACTCAGGAACGGGACAAGGAAGATTATGAAATTGGGGGGGGGAGTTCATTCTGGAAAGAAACATCGTATTAAAACATATAAATAACCCCTAAAAGGCAAATGAACTCAGGTGAGTCACTATGAACAATCTTGATTCCAGAGATTATGAGATGAAACGCACATCTCTCCTTTTGTTAGAAACATCGGGGCCATAGGATCAGGGCACTGCATATACAGTCAAATCCTAGTGACTTTGTCAATCAATTTTGCTTAACTTCTTTTCTTGGTTACTATGGAGGGTTCAATGGGGGGGGATAGAATATCAGAAGATACAATGGCTTTAAAATAAAAAACAAAAAGTATTCTGAAAAAAAAGAAGAGAGGAAAAAAGGAAGAAAAGAAAGAAGGAAAATCTCCCAGTGACCCTTTGTGTTCTGGGTAGGGTATTGGCCTTCCTAAAGGACGTCTACATCAGAGGCATCAAACTCAAATAGAAATGAGGCCACCAAATTATACACAAGGATTCCTGTGGGCAGCATGTTGACTTAGAAAACCACATGTTCACACTGTTACATTTTCCATCTAGCTCTGGGATCCCCAGCTCACTGGTAAGCTCTTGCCTCATCTTGCCCAGCTCCAGGCCTCCCTCTCATCTCCCAGGTCTTTCCACATCATTTTTCCACACCATGCTGCCATGTTCTACACTTAGAACCGTCTAGCTCCGCCTTACATGTTGTCTTCAGCATGAGAAGATAAGCTCCATGTTGCAGTACCCGGAACATAGTAAGCACTTGATAAATGCTCTATCATGTCCTGATATGTCTTTTGTCTGTCTTCTTATCTATCAATCATCTATCTATCCTTCTTTCTTTTCTTTTCTTTTTTTTTTTTTTGGTCTAGGCAATGGAGTTAAGTGACTTGCCCAGGGTCACACAGTTAGTAAGTGTCAAGTGTTTGGTCTGAGGCCGGATCTGAACTCAGGTCCTCCTGACTCCAGGGCCAGTGCTCTATCCACTGCCCCACCTAGCTGCCCCCCTTCTTTCTATTTATCTGTCTGCCTTCCTATTTACTAACAATATCTTTCAAGGCTTCCAGTTCATTTTTGGATGAACTAGGAATCCCTTGGCTTGGAATCTAAAGCCCTCTGCCATCTCTCTCGTCTCCAGGATCATTTCATATCACTTCCCTTCAGGCACTTTATGTTCTAGCATACACCTGTTGGCTCTTCCCTTACCCATGTGTTCTGTCTCCCACCTTAGGCCTCTGGTCAGGCCAGCCCTCAAGCCTGGAATGCACCTTCTCCTCCTCGTTCCTTTGTTCTCTTCACGACTTCACGACTGGGGGGCCATGTCCTCTAAGAAGCTGCTCCTCATCTCTCTAGTGCCTGAAGGGACTTTGTGCTTACTTCTCTGTGTTACCTCAATGTTTACCCCGATGGAGTGTAAGCTCTCTGAGGGCAGAGACTGCTCCTTTTTAGTGGCCCTGGTGCCTAGCTAGGGGCCTAGCTCACGGTCGATAACTAATCCGTGTTTATAGAACAGCACTAAACACTAGTTGACCTGCAAAGGGGATGGGAAACCTGGGAAAGTGCTTTTCGTCCATTCTCTAAATTCCCTCCCTGTTCTCAGACACCTGAGATCCCCTGTTGGCATCTCACCTTCATCACCAGCCTGTGGTGCAAGGACTAGAGAGACTAGAACAGAAACAGTCATTCTCTGGGTCTTTGTTGCCTGTAGATTGGCGATTACACAGGTGGATAAGATAATGCTTTCTGTAATTGAATTGGGGTGCCAGCTCGTCCTCTGGAGGCTCATTTGCTAAGACTGTTCTCATGACAACTTCAGGAGGCAGACAGGGCCTCGTCCACATGATCTGGATTATTATTATTATTATTAATTATTATTATTATTATTATCCTGGAGCTACAAAAAGAATAAGGGAAAGGCCAAAGATTGGTGGGCAGGTCCTCCACGGAGGTCTTACAGTAAGATGTGGACAAAGGTTTTGATGGGAGCAGCCACGGGTGGTGGAGGGGTGCCCCCTCATGGATCACGCAGTCTCTGATCAGTTATATAAACCCCAGGCGGCCCGCAGTGCTGGCTGCTCCAGAGGAGGGGGAGGGGATTATTCGATCGACTTCTTTTCTTTTCTTTCTTTTCACTTTTTTCTTTCCTTTTTTCGGCAAACTATTTGGTTCCTCATCTATAGCCAGCTGGGCCACAAAAGAGGCTAATCTCTGCACAGCGTCCAGTATGACAAGGGTCATGGCTGCCAGAAACATTCTGTTTCTCGCTGAAGCCTCGCCCTCTGGGTACACATCCTGTTGTGAACATTAGAACAGAAGGGCCAGCAGAAGGATGCCGTTCCCCAGCGGAGGATAAAACCCTGTCCATTAAAGTCTCACAGACAGCCTTCCTTGTCTGCTTGTGGCCTTGGGGCCGTAATGGGAACAGCACGACTTACTGGGAGGACGACATTTACAAGTGTTTATGAGGCACTGGGCATGTGCCTGGCATTGTGTGCTGAGAGCTGGTCCCTCCCTCAAGGAGCTCACATTCTAATGGGGGAAGAGACAGCGTGCAACAGGTGTGTATGCAGAGAATCTGCACAGTATGGATGGAAGGGAAAGGCACCGGTGTGGGGGGGGGAGGGCTCCTGCGCAGGGCAGATTGGGGTAGAGTCTCCATGGAAGCCAAGAGGCAGAGGTGAGGAAGGAGGGTACACCAACCATGGGACATGAAGAAGGGCAAAGGCATGGAGACAGGAAATGGAGAAGCTTGTGTAGCAAACAGCCAGGAGACCCGTGCAGCTCGATTAGAGAATGTGTCAGGAAAAGAGGGAAGCCAAGTATGAGAAGGCTAGCAAAGCAGGAAGCAGGGTAGAAACCACTAAGCTTGGCAAGGGGATTCAGTGAAAATCAGGAACTGTGAGGTGGCACCTTGGTGGCAGCCAACGCCCATGAGCTCTTCCTTGGCCTCTCTCCATTCGGATTTATCAAAGCCCAGTTCTTCTGGGACCAGCAGTTACTCTGTGTCCTGGGACCTCCCTGCCTCACCTCAAATAGACGAGGGGGCAATACGGGCTTCTCCTCTGAGATCTGCACAGTTACATTACATGAGCATTACTGCAGGAACAGGGCACCACAGGGGAGACCTGTGGAGAGGCAGCTATCTTCTAGGACGCTGTAGCCACAACCACTGGACACCCAGAAGAAGAGAGTTCTGGGCATTTTCAAATGCTTCAACATCTGAAACAGACACGGCTTTCTTAATGGGAATGACATTAAAGAATATGTGTTACCATTGGCTTTGCCACCTCTGACTGGCAGCTGAAACTCCCCAGATGTGTCAGGGGCAGGAGCTGAGCTCAAGGGCTTGGTGGTCTAGGTTAGCTCTCTATGCACAGCATCACTCTGAAATTCCAGGAACATCTATCATCTATCTATCTACCTATCTATCTATCTATCTATCTATCTATCTATCTATCTATCTATCATCTATCGATCAATCAATCTATTATCTATCTCTGCTGTCTAGCATTCTATCAATCATCTATCATCTATCCTCTATTATTCTGTCAGTCTCTCCTTTTGTCTATTTATCTGTCCGTCAATCTGTCTTCCCATCAGTCTGTCTATCTAGCTATGTCAATATTTAAGCATTAAGAAATGCAGAGCTTCTCTATCCTCAGTCAACACCTTTAGCTGTTTCCTTGTTCCTTTACAAACATGACTCTCAGTCTGAATGCCAAGGCTGGTTTAGGGTTCGCCCGACACAATCCACAGAGGACGTGCTCCACAAATCTCTTTGGCAACCTCCAGTTAATCCTCTGAGCTCTCTCAAGTCACATCCCAGATGTCCCAAGCTGGTGATGAGTCTTGATCCCTAAGGTCCTAGGCCTGAAACTAGAGATCACTCTTTCCTTCCACCCCCAGACTGCCCAGTGGCTAGAAGCTCCCTGCTCTGCCTGAAATGCTTGTGTGTCCTATTCCGTCGGCTGACCTGCATCTCTGCTCTTAAGTGAGAAGGAGGAGGTGTGCTCTTCTATGCCTTCACATTCCCCAGAAGGCCTGAGACACAGAGCTTAGCCCTCTGGGCTGTTGTCAGGCAGCTGAAGAGACCAGCAGATGCTGGAGGAAGATAAAATTTTTTCTACAAGGTCAGATGGGCAAAAGGGCCTCCCTCCCACCAAGAAAATACCAAATTCCCAATGGACTTGGGACTTAAGCTTGCCAAGGAATGACAAAGCATCTAGAGCAAGAAGAGAGGCTGAGAAGAGGCAGAAAACCCAATTCAAACCACAGAAACACTTGAGACATTTTGAGAACAGATTTGGAAAGGTTATAGACGTACTTGGCGGTGACCTCTACACAGTCAGCGACTCTACCCCAAACCCTAAGGGGAAAACACAGTCCTCATTTTTCTTCCAAGAAAATAATGTGTCTATGCCAAAGATGTTATGATACCTGCACACTGGTATTATGGACCAGGAGGGCTAGGGCCCTCTCCCCTCCCAACCACTTAACTTTTCTACCTCTAACAGCAGATCCTTTTGAAAAAATAATAAGCGTTTTACTCATTTTTTCAAACATCGTCATCATTGTTCCACCTCTCTGAAAAGACTCGTTCCTCACAAAAAAAACCAAAACAAACAAACAAAAAAACAGCCAAGAAAAGCAAGTCACCCAGAAGATTGGCTTCCATGCCTGAGGGCATCCTCAGTCTGCACCTGTATTCCACCACCCCAATTCTGGTAAATTTTCTGACTGGCACAACTTGGGGTGGGGTGGGGGGCAGGAAAGGATTCTTTGAGGAAGTTCTTGGGGGGAGAGAGAAGAAAAGAAGAAGAAGGAGAAGAAAGAGGAGGAGGAGGAGGAGGAGGGTTTTCCACCATCTCAGAAGGCATGGGGTCCGTCTGGCTCTAGGTTTAAGGACTCTTCCTAGCCTGGAGGCGTGGATCAGCTGTTTGAGGCCAGGTTTGGCTGGGTTTCTGGAGGCCAGTGAAGTTCTTTGGCTTATTGTGAGGCCAGAGGCTCTCTCTGGTGGGGCTCACCATGGAAAAAACACGTCTCAGAGCCTGGGTTATAAAATGATGCTGTCAGTGGCTTTTTGGGGGGGAGGGGCAAGGAGTCAGATTAGTAGACTAATCTTTTTCTGTGCACCCCGGTACAGGACTCGATTTGATTAAATAGGGGACGAGGCAGCAGTGACACTCCGTGAAAGAAAACAGATGGCCCTTTTTAAGACTCTGAAATCTGACAGTCATTTCTGTACAGTCACCTATGCGGTGCAGTGATGAGAAGGCAGCCAGCTCCTCCATCATCGCCTAAAAGGTCGAGCTTCTTGGACTGACTGATTCTATTCTCTGCACCTTCTCCGTCTTCGTGTTTCTCTGCCTCCTCAGTTCAGCTCCATGTAACTCAATTCCAAAGACTTTCTCGGGTGTCCATGGGCAAGGTTCTTTCTGCCTAGACGAGTGTCCTCACCTCTTTACCTGCTGAATTCCTTAACCATCCCACAAGACCCAGCTCACCTGTCAGTAATGTCCTTCTTCCTCCCACCTCTCACCCAGAGTTGTTCAGCCCCACTCTATTGGGTACCACTTTGACAGGCCTAGCACTGCAGCCCACACTTCTCAGAATTTCCCCTATGGGCCTGGATGATAAGAATGATGATGAAAATGATTCAAAGTGACCAAGTGATAACCCAAGGATGCTGAGAATCAACCCTGGCCCCCTCATCATCAGTCTGATCTGTCTCCCATGTTTGGAACTCTCTCCTCATTGCCATCTCCTGGCGTCCTTCAAGAACCGGATGAAATCCCACCATCTTCTGCAAGAAACCCTTCTTAATTCCCATTAATGTTAGTGCCTTCCCTTTCTTAATGATCTCCAACTTATCCTGTACATATCTTCTTTCAATATAATCATTCACAAGGTATCTCCCCCATTTGGTGGTAAGACTGAGAACAGGGTTTGTTTCTTGCCTCCTTTTGTATCCACAATGCTTAGGACAGTGCCTGGCATATGGAAGGTCCTTAATAAATGCTTGCTGACTTGTTGATCTTTAACTATTTCCATCTCCCCCACCCCCACCCACCACCCCAGGAGGCAAGAGACCATGGGAAAGGATAGAGCAGTGATGAAACAGGACATGGGTGTAGCAAAGTGGACATCCTTCTCCTATTGGCATTTGCCCTTAAGATTTAACCTTTTTTTTCCTTCTCATGAGGCTGCTGCCAGAGGAAGCCAGGGTGCCAGGCAGTTGGGTGGCAAATGACTCCTTGGGAATCATTCGGCCAGTTGGGTCCTAGTAGCTGCTACAGTTACGGCCCAAGGAAGAGGACGTTTCCTAAATGCTGTGGGTACCTCCGTAACGTGAGCATAAAGGGTCAAGACTGAACTAGGAAATTCCCAAAGAGCAGACTTGGGTGGAGGAATGGAGTAGACATCATCCTGTTTTTATAATCTGAAACAATCACTTTGTAGCAGAGCCTAGTTTTAGACAGACGTCAACAATCGTTTCCCCCATCCAGGTCTTTTGAAGACAATGCCTTGGAAGAGCAGGGCTGTCTACACGTACACACAGAGAGAATCTTCTTTGTAGGCATCAAGGGGGCATGGATGAAACTAGAGGTGGTCGCTGGAGCAAAGCACCACCTGGTGGGCAATATTATAAAATCTACTTCCAGGCTGGTTAAGGCTAAGGAGGAATCCAGTCTTTCTGTGCGCCTAAGGAAGGCAGGGTGGCAATCAGTGTCCACTGTCAATGCTGCGGTAGCACCTTAAGTGCCACCTGGGATGCCCTCCAAGTGCACGCACAGCACGGACCTGTGTCACAGACATTCGTGTTTTTAAAATGTTTTTAAAAATATATTTTTAAACTCATTATTTCTCAGTTACATATAAAACAATTTTTAACATTCTTTTTTAAATTTTGAGTTTATATAATGTTTTAAGGCATACAAGGAGCTGCACATACATTATGTCATTTGAGACTCACAAAAACTCTGAGAAGTAAGTAGTATACATATTATCATCCTCATTTTACCAATGAAAAAAACTGAGGCTCAAGGAGGCAAAAGGACTGATCTGTAGTCAGATAGCCAGGAGGTGTCATTGTTACCACTATTATTTGAAAATAGTGTTAGAAATGTTAGTTATAACAAGACAACAAGAAAAAGAAACTGAGGAAACAAATATTGGCAAAGAGGAAATAAAACGATCAGTTTTTTCAGATGCCATTACAGTCTACCTAGATGAACCCTAGAGAGTCAGCTCAAATTATTGAAATAATTAACAAATTAGTACAAAATTTACTTACACAAATCATGAGCCTTCCTATATTCTACCAGCAAAATCTAGAATTTCGAGACAGAAAAATCTCATTCAAAAGCATTACAAAATACATAAAATGTTTAAAAGTCTATCTATAAAGACATACACACTATATGAATAAAGTCAACAAGCATTTATAAGTGCCTACTATGTGCTATGCACTGTGTTAAGTGATGTGAATACAAAGAAAAGAAAAAAAAGGTCCGTGCTTTCAAGGCGCTGATGGTCTAATAGAGGAGACGCAATACCACAAAACAACTAGTAACAAACAAGATAGATTCAGGCTAAACTGGAGATCATCTCAGAAGAAAGGCACTCACTAGCACTGAGGAGAATCAGGAAAGGTTTCTTGCAGAAGGCAAGATTTTAGCTGGGAAGTGAAGGAAGCCAGAGAAGCCAGAAGACAGATATGAGGAGGGGGGAGATTCTAGGCATAAGAGATAGCCAGGAGTATGCACAAAGTTGGGAGACGCAGCATTGTGTATGAGAGACAGGAAGTGGGTCAACGTTACTGGATGCCAGAGGGGAGTAACGTACAAAAAGACTGGAAAGATAAAAAAGGACCAGGAAAAAAACAAACTATAAAACATTCTTTACAGAAAAGACAGATCTAAATAATTGGACAGGTATTAATTGCTTGTGGTTGGGCTGTGCCAATATAATTAAAATGATGTTATTGTCTGTATTAATTTATTTATTTGGTATTACACCAATCAAACTACCAAAGGATCATTTTAGAAAGCTGGGAAAAAATAATAACAAAATTAATCTGGAAGAACAAAAAGCCAAGAGCGATAATGAAAAAAAGTGGTAAGGAAGGAAGTCTAGCAGTACTGGATCTCATAATACCTTACAAATCAGTAATTACCAAAATTATTTGGTTCAGGTTAAAAAATAGAAAAGTCAACCAGTTGAACAGAGTAGGTGCACAAACATCAGAAGCAATTGAATGTAGTGGCTCTGGGGCTACAAAGCAAAGACTAAAATAACGCCTGCCCTCAAGGAGCTCCCACTTCAATGCCAGAAACAAGCAGACAAGTACACACGAGTTCCATGCAGCGTGCCCCTCCCCCCACCGGATTCCCAGCCCCCTCTTAGCTCAAATCTGCATCCTTGAAGCAGCTTCAGAACAATTCCTGAGCCTCTGTCCTGCTGGCTGACTCGAGCCTTCCCCATTTCTGATCCATCCTGCAGCCGCTGCAAGCTCAGGCGTCACTGAATGACCCCTGCAGTGTGTGACTTCATGCTTTAAAAACAGTCAGTGAGGAAGAAGTTGGCAAAGACAAACTTGTCCTTCTAGGCTTTAGTATGCATTTTGAAGGGCTGGGGCCCCCAAAAAATCAAAAGCAAAATTAGAGAGAATAGAGAGCCCAGAAAGAACCCAAAGAGGTAAATAGACTGACACGTGTGTGATTGTGTGTGGTTTTGTGTGTGTGTGTGTGTGTGCGTAAATCACAATAAACTCCACTTGGATTTATGGGTCAAATAAATTTTAAAAATATTTTTCAAATTAAAACACGAAGGAGGAGAAGAGAAGCACAGTATGTCTTTACTATTGAAACAACAGAACTTATGAGTTAAACTGAGATGAAGAGAATAAACAGAGTCAGGATGTGTGTCCTTAAAAAGACCCCCTAATCTATGTGTACAGTGTCCAATCTTTAATGGGCACACAGGCAGAAACTGTTAACTCATACATTCAGCAAAGACTCAAAAAATGTCCCACCTCATAAATGATCAACAAAATTCAAAGTAAAACAAACAGCACACGCTCATTCACACCTGTTGATTTGTCCAAACTAAATCAAAATGATAAACAAGGCCCATGTTGGCATGGTGATGGCATCCACTTTTGGCTACTACATTGATTGAAGTTACCTTACCTTTCTGGAAACAAGTACTAAGAAAATACCTTCTGCTTTGAGAGCCAGGAATCTTCGTAGTATCGACATACCCAAGGAAATCATTACTTTGGCGGGGGGGGGGGGGGGGGGGAAAAAAAAAAAAAGAAGGGGGGGGGACAGAAAGAGGGGAGAGAAAGATGGAAGAGGGAAAGGTACAGAGACAGAAACAGAAAAGAGAGAGAGAGAGACAGAGAGACAGAGACAGAGACAGAGAGAGAGCCAGAGAGGAATGACTTGTTTGAAGATATTTCCAGCTGTGTTATACGCAATGTCAAAAACACAAGAAAGCAAAACAGGAAATAATCCAACAGTTAGGAGATGGCTAAATGGATTATGGGCTATATGAAATAACAAAAATGAAGACTATAAAGAAATCTGGATATGTCTATTTGAAAAAAAAAAAACCAAGAGTGCTGAAGATATAGATTACATACTACTTTTACTACTTTTTCCATAATGGCTTATATTTATATTTTATGTATGTATATATTTATTTTATTTTTATGTATGTACACACATATAAATATAGACATGTGTGTATCTCTCTCTCTTAAGGATTAGAAAGTGTTATAAAGCAAGTTTGTAAAGCTAGTCACTGATATCCGTATGTTTATGTTTTGCTATAAAATCGATTAAACAAACAGTTAAAAAGGAACCCACAAAATGAACCCCAACCTTGCATGGCTCTTCATAGCCTGGTTAACATGCCTGGTGGCTACTCGAGACCTTCTAACATCTGATTCCACAATTCTAAAAAGCACAGGGATGTTTCTCAGAAAATGCGGCCTAATTTTTTTTTCAGTCTGCAAGTGAGAAATCTGGTGATCATTGAAGACATGAGACTTTGTCCTGCTGATTCACTTTCCAGTGGCTCAAATCAGGTATTTAGAGGCAGGAGGTTAAAATTGGATAGAAGTAATGAGTTGGGCAGAGGAGAGGGGAAAAAACCCAATCCTTTGCCCACCTCATTTCTCATTACTCCCCAGTGTGAATTCTCTGCCCTTGCATGGTTGGTCTACTCATTGTTTTCCAAATAGCACTATTTCCTTCCAGCTTCCAAGTCTTCCCTTACCTTGTGCCTCTTGCCAAGAATTCCCTGCTTCTTACTTTCTCCCCTCTCCAAATCCACTGATGCCCAGCCCAGCCTTCATCTCCATGGGGACCACCACAGCCCACAGTGATCTCTCCTATAGGCCTTAGTGGATAGAGATCACATTACTGATATATTACCATTTCCTTAAGTGTATTATTATTTAACACTTGTTATTTCATCTAACAGCTCCTTTTTGATTGTGAACTTACTCACCTACAGACACAACGATTTCAACAAAGATGATAGATGTTGTTTGTGGCATTTTCTGTACTTTTTGTTTTCTTCTAAAAATGTTTTATTGGCACTTTCTCCTCACATATTGATTACTACCTGCTACCTCACTCTGCCAAATACATCTTTGCGTGCTTCCGGTCAAGCAAAAAAAAAAAAAAAAAAAGCCCAACCCAAAGCCATCCCACAGGCCACATCTGAGAAGTCGTCTGTCCGGCTTGCCGTAGGTCTGTCTGTCTCCCAAAGACACCCTCAGCTCTTCCTGGGCGGGAGTGGGTCTGTGTGGCTTTGAATCTTCCCTTGTGCCAAACCAGCCAGCACACGGTCTCACTGGGGCGGAACCTCCATAAGTACTTTGTCCATGAGTGCGCTGTGATGTGTGGTCTCATTCATTCGAGCTCTCCCAAGACCCTGCTCCCTGGGGCCATGCTTACCTGGGCCTCTTCCTAATCCTCCAAGGAGGCTCTCCCCTCCCCCATGCCCCTTCTTGTGACATTTTAAGGGAAGCCCTGATGTTATTTACCTGTCTATCCATCAGTCTCACTACATGACTGGCTTCCCTCCTTTTCTGGTCCCTATTTCCTGGATTCACTTCACTTCCAATTCCAATAGACCAATTCCCATTTAACGAGAATTTATTAAAAGTGTATATCCCTATTACACCCCATAACTGCAGGTCTTCCCCAGGGCTGTGTCCTGAGCCTCCTTTCCCTCTACACATTCTCTCAGTAACTTCATCTGATCCCTGGGTTTAACTGTCATCTCAATGCAGATGACTTCCGGATCTCTATCAGCTGACATTTCTTCCGCTCCTCACACAGGATGTGTGTCTCCAGCCTCCGGACCTTTGCCTTGGCAGTCCCACACACCTGTAATGGGCTATCACCTCACATCTGCTTCACTCCTGGGCCACTGCTAGTCGTCTTGACTTTTGTACTGCCACTGAACTTCAATGACTCAGGAAGAGAGAGTGAGAGTGACTTTGTGCAACTCTGCCTCACTTAAATTCAATTGATGTGCCAGGTAAGACATCACCCATGATGTCACTGGTCTTCTTTGAAAATGAAGGGCCAACAACACAGAACTCCTGTCTTCCTTTAGACATTACTCACACACTGCCCACACAAAGCCTTCCCTGATCCCTCCAGCTGCCAGCACCCTCCCTCCCAAACTGACTTGCATACAACTATTTTGTTTGGATTTGGATTCATTAGCTTTATATCTGTGCTGTATTATACATATACACACACACACTTGTGTATATATATACTTGTTTTTCCTCCATTAGAATGGAAGCTCCCTGCAGGTAGGGACTGGCTGAGTCTTTGTACTTGTATCTCAAGTGCCTGGCACATAGTAGGAGCTTAATACACACTTGTTGATTGATGGATCACAACGTATCAGGCACAGTGCTAGGAGCCGGGGATTAAGAGACACACGAAATAGAAAACAGCACTCTCCCTTTGAAGATGGGATGGGGCAGGGTGGAGGTGCCTCCAGAGAGGTCAATACGAAGACCATACAAAGTGATTTCAAAGGAGAATGATGACTGAAAGTGCAGGGATGGTGGGGGGGCAGTGAGAGGATCAGGAAAGGCCCGAGTTTGAGGTGGCCTCTGAGTGGTGCTTGGAAGGAAGCCTCTTTCCGAATGATGTCTGCCATGACTCTCCTTGGAGACAAACCATCGCTAGCAAGATGCCACAGCTTGCTTCCTACTGCCACACAAGGTCTTCCTCTCCCTTTGCAGTCACTTAGAATTTTTGAGGCTTGCAATCCACATCTCCGACCATGCTAGCAAGTTTTGTTTCAAACCAAGTCACTTTCTCTGTGACGATCAATGTCCCAGCTGCAGCAACTTTTAAGAGTCATGGCACAAAGCTGTCCAACACCTGTGCCTTGGTGGAAGGGTCACATCATTAAAGGGCCATGTGAACATTTAGAAAAGAAGCCAGCCCACTACCAGTCTTCATTTTTGTGAAATAACCTCTTAAAGTCACATCAAGGCAGAGCAAAGGGTTTAGCCTTGACTGGCAAGCCTCCCAGCACCAAGGCAGCCTTTGACAATTGGCCAAGATGGCAAGCCTTGCCAGTGTTGCCAGCGCAAGCTTCACTTACTTGGAGAACATCAAAGATGATGTCCCTTACCAAGACCCAAGTCAAACAATGAACTTCGAGGCTATTGTTGAAGTCTACTGTTCTCAAGACAATGTGCAGGGCAGTATGGTGCAGTGGGAAAGAAGGAAGGAAGGCCCAAGTATTTATTAAGCACATACACTGTGCCCAAAAGAAAAGCAGTCTGCCCTTAAGGAGGTTCCACTCTAATGAAGGAAGACAATAAACAAGAGACCTACAAAGGCGAGGGCACACCCAATAGTTTGGAAGTCCAGAAAATGAAGATGGGGTTGGATTTGGAGTCAGAGAACCTGGGTTCAAATCCCAGTTCTACCACTTACTAGGTATGAGGCCATGGACAAATCCCTTCCCCTGTGTGAGCTTCTAACTCTTTCTCTATACAAAGAAAGAGTTGGAATGGATGATCTTTAATGTCCTTCCCAGCCCTAGATCTCTGATCCCATGAACTTCTCTCCTCTGGGCCTCAGTTTCTTTAACTGTAAATGAAAGGGTTGAGCTAGATGACCTTTCAAATCCCTTCTGGCTCTAAATCGGTGATCCTGTGTGATTCCCCCGTCCACTTCTTGGATCAATCTTGTCCTGTGTGGTTTTTTCCCTGCTTTAAATGTGAAACTGATAGCTTTACATGATTCTCTGCTTCCATGAATGGAGCCTAGATGTGGCACCAGAGGTGGTTTAGCAAACTAGCTGAAAAAACCAAGAGTTCCCTGACACAAGGAATCTTGTATCCTGGAAAGGGCTTGATGCCAGTGTGCATTCTGAGGTTTGCTCAACTAGAAAAAAGATAGTTGTCAGTGTTTTCCATCCTTTTCTGGGACTCTGAGGAGCTAAACATTGAGGTAAAGCTCCCAAGTCCATGACTTAGTGATTCCCCAAGCCCTCCCCTCTTGTACTTGCCTATTGCTGTCCAGGGTACCGCCATCCTGTCTATTCCTCAGGCTCACAAGCCAGGTGTCATCCTCAGCTCTGCCTATGTAATTTAGTAACAAGTCTTGTCATTACTACCTTTCTGGCATTTCTCACTTATGCCACCTTCTCTCCTCTGACACCGCCACCCTTACAGTGCAGGCCTCCATCACCTTATGCCTGAACTCTTCCAACAGGCTCCCAGGTGGTTTCCTGGGTTCAAGTCTCCTCACTGCAGTCCACCCTCCACTCAGCAGCCAAAGAGATCTTCTTCAAACACAGGTCTGATCACCATGTCGTCCCTCTACTCAATTATCTCCTGTGGCTCCCTATTAACTTCAGGATCAAATAGAAAATCTCATTTGGCTTTATGAGCCCTTCATTACCTGGCCTCTGACATCTTTCCAGTTTTCTCCTTATACCTTCCTCCCTCCCACATGCCTTAAGGGACACCAGCCTCCTTGCTGTTCCCTACACGATACACTCTGTCTCTTGACCATGGGCATCTTCCACTAGCTATCCCCATGTCTGGAATACTCTTCCTCCTTTTTTTTGCTTCCTGGCCTCTCTGGCTTCCTTCAAGTCTCAGCTAAAATCCCACCTTCTGCAAGAAGACTCTCCTGGCTCTGCCCAACAATGTTCATGCCTTCCTTCTCAGATTCCTTACCATTTATACATATGTGTC